CTATTCTTTGTCACAGAATAACTGAAGACAATTATTATTGAAAATGACTGATTCTGTAGAAGTGGCTGTCACCTCTGAATCTAGCGGCCAGTTATGTTCGGTCAGTGTTTGGGATACGCAAACTGGTTCACAACTCATGACATACAAGGTACAGCATTGCAACTTATATTGTCTTTTAGATTCTCTTTGATATCTCTCAAAACTTTTACATCATCTTTTAACTTTTAGGGCGGTGGTGTGTGTGCGAGCCACTCTCTCTCACTCGTGGGCTCAGATTATATTGTTGCTGCTGAGCTGTCAAAGCCTTTAATGCACGTATGGCCTATCAACAGTACAGAGCCTACTCAAGCATTACGAGCCGTTTGCAATGGTATTATTAGTGCTTTAGCTGCAAGTCCGGATGGTCGATACATTGTCGCGGGCATTGCAGAGAAGATTCATTTATGGCAGGTATGATTTCCTCTGCTTTGAAAACGGCTGTTTCTACTTGTAAAATACAATTATGTTAACCACTTGTCTATTTCTCATTTTAGGTTGAAGCTAGCCGTCTTATGTGTGTAGCTGCCCGCCACTTTCAGAGAGTGACCTGCATTCGTTTTATGGGAGATGGTGTTCACTTTGTCAGTGGAGGTGAAGATGGAGTTGTAGCTGTATGGCGCATATCTGATCTTGTTTCCCAAGAAGGTGCACGGTTGGAGACTGTTCATAGCTTTTCTGATCATTTCTTAGCTGTGAAGTAAGTATTATTTTTTGTTCTTTATTAAATAGTAAATTATTGACTGTGTTCAGATGGTAATAGTCCTATCCTTCGTCTTGTTTCAGGGATATTTATGTTAACCATGGAAAATATCCTCGTATTACATCCGTTTCTATGGATGGATCGTGCAGAGTGTATGATTTTGCCTCTGGAAAATTACTTTTATCCCTGATTGTTGATGCCTGTAATCTCACATCTATATGTGCAGATGTTTTGGATTCTTCATTATTCTTGGGGTGTAACTCTGGTGACATTTTAAATGTCTGTCTAAAGGAGAGCCCAAGACAACTCGAACATCACTTGACTGAAAAAGAAAAAGAATGTGTTTTTAAAGGTAAATTATTTTATCTGTGAGTGAAACAAAACCCTTAATAAATCATTCAGTTCAATAGAATAATTTTTATTTTACAGGGCACTCCAAAGCTGTGACAGCATTGTCTGCATCTGAAGATACAGTCACATTACTCTCTGGATCTATGGATGAAACCGCCAGGCTGTGGCATATTGAAAGCAAACAATGCTTGCGCATTATTCAGCACAAAGGACCTGTTCTTAATGCCTTCATTACCTTCTGTCCCCTTAATATGATTGCTGAGAAACTTGAACCCAACATTGTAATGCGCCGTCTGCCTAGGGTGAATGATGGAACAGAGAGCTTAGGATTTAAATTTAAGTCCATAACCAGAATGGAACATACCATTGAGGCTTCATTTGACAGATATATAGACTTCTACGATAACAAATCTGTTATTTCTAGCGAAGAATTAATTAACAAATCTCAAGAAATAGAAGATTTGAGAAGGAAAAATGCAGAGTTGTTTAAAATTGCTACAGAGAAAGTTTTAAATAACACTTCAGAAAAGAGCACTCCTAATGTTGTACCTAGTCTTATAAATATTGAATTAGCTTTAAAACATGTAGAAGATAAGTCTTTGGCAGAAATTCAGCCAGCAGCGTATGAATGTCCTAAAAATATGAAGAAAAAGAAGAAATCTGCTTAGATTTGTCAGTTAAACCTTTCGTTGATTTTTCTTTGCCCTTTTGTTTACTTTTGGAATTGAATTTTAATTCCCAATTTCATATTTTTCTACACTTTGTTTCTCTTTTATTTTGCTTGTATATCTGTTCTTTTCTCCGATTTATATTGTCTTTGACTTCTTGTTGGAACTGTCATGCAACCTTTGTGTTTTGAATATAAATCTTCATGCTCTTATGGCGAAGTGACAGTGGAATGTAGGAATGTAAGCTGGAACTGCCTCCTCGCAGGCTCTGTTCTTTCAGCACAGTACATTTTATCTTAAATGGGAAATGTCATTGTTTATGTTTTACTTTGATAAAAATGATTAAAATATCATTTTCGTACTTCGAATGTCGTTTTTCTCACCCGTACATACCTCAGATTAGTCTAAATGCGAGCAGGCAAAAAAGCGCGACGATACTCCTGTGTTAGAACCGGAAGTATCGACAGCGCGCAACGTGTATTGCCCGGTTGCGCCCTCTGTTGGGCTCACTTCTATCTATTCAAGTCGGGCTACGGTTTCAGCAAAATATGCGAGCTGACTGAAAAACCGTGTTTTTTCGTTCACTGTAAATGTGAAGGTTCATTTCATACGTAGTCACGTAAGACACTTAAACTTGCTACGGATAACTGATCCCTTTGGGCGCCTCCCCTGGTCGCATCTTAGTAACACATTTAACATTTAACAAGCAACCAACAGCATACCAGGTGGCTGATTCACGCCGCGCACTTTCGTAGTTATACTGTATCGGTCTATCCCATAACTTATACGATCTTTCTATGGGCACGTTCATCCGGCGGTCTGTGACATACAGAGTGGGTGATCAGCGCCGTGGTTTTTTTCTGCGTATAGGCAGACACTTGAGTCCACGCGAATGCCAATGTCGACTTCATTTCTGCCTTTTTGCAGGACAGCATGGCCGCGGTGCGCGGTGCCCTCGGCGGTGGCCGGGGCAGAGGGGGGAAGGCCCGTCTGCAGGAAGGAGATGCCCCGGACGCGCACCTGGCCGAGGAGGCCAAGAAGGTCATCAAGGATCTGGTGGCCCGTCAAACGGACACCGCTGCTTCTTTGGAATTGTAAGTATTAATTAACACATTGAGTCCCAAGGGGGGGGGGGGGTGGACACGGGTTATTGTGACCACGCTTGTGGTCACGTGGGACAGACGTGCAAGGACCAGCGCCCGCGCCCTGCGCCTCTACGTACGAGCCCATCCTGAAGTGCGTCACTTTTGAAACGGTGGCCGAAAAAAGTTATCGGAAAGGGGTGGGGATTGGAGGGGGGGGGGCAAAACTTGGGGCGTGGCCGTTCAAATGTTTCTCTCCCAGCGGGGCTGAAACGTCTCGTGATATTTGGGACTTCCCTGACAGCACGGCGTACGCGACCCTCCGACCGTCTTCTCGACCGTCCTTGTCCTTCCTTTTCCAGACAACGGGCGCGGGAGGGAGAGCGACAGTTCCATCGCGCGGCCGCCGTGCTGCCCCTGGACGGCGCGTCAGGTGGGACGGCCAGCCTGCAGGACTTCGCGTCGGGTGCGGAGCGCACCAGGCGCGCCGAGGAGTTCGCCGGCTCGGGTTTGCATGTGCACGACCTGCAGCTCCTGCTGGAACACGGTGAGCACACCGCGGAGTTTGAGTGAGGCCTATCACCGGCCGAGAGGCTTACGCGGAGCGTTTCTTTCCCTCAGAGTGCGGGGCGCTGGCGGTGGAGCGCCTCTCGGAGCCGGAGCGCCTCGCCCGCGAGGAGAGGCTACAGGACATCCGACGGCAGCTGGGCGCCGCGCAGACCGCACAGGGGTGAGCAGCGTCATCGTGTACCGGGTGATTCAGAGAAGACGCAGGTGCGGGCGGGTTTGCC